TTTTCTGGGTAAAAACTCAACTGAAGCGCTTTAGATTTATGCGCACAGGCAATTAAATTCATTAAACGAAATTTATGAGCAGCTCAAAATACTTGTGGGTGACATAATTGAGTGCTGCCTGGCAGCATCTTCCAAAGATCTGCAACTTGCCTAAGTCGGTTCATTAGCCAGGCTGCAGGAATTCAAATGTGCGTAAACAATATCTTTATGGGGAATTTCAAATTGGGCTAAGTAAATTACGCACATTCGACTAAACCAAACAATGTGCATAAACAAAAAGAACATTAGCCGTGGGGTGTAATCAACTGCCTAATGCCCGTTCAAGGATGGAAAGTTGCGAATGATATGTTTATGAATAACTGTTCAGAGACAGTTTTCTTAAGGCTTTCTGTCAAGTTTGAGTAGATAAACTTTTAAGCTTGAAGAGATACACATTTTTCTCTATGTACCACGCCTCATTGTAAGTGTTGCCTTCAATCTATATAAGAAATTCTATCATAGAAGAATTTATATATTTATGTTCACGCATCTTCATATACTTTAGATCTAGTCCGATACAGAAGTATGTTTCCTCTAATCTTTATAAGACCCACTCCCATAGAAATGTATATATAAGCAAGCTCAAGTCCTTTTTGATATCAGAATATATATATATATATATAGCTGGCAGCAACTCCTCAGCTTTGCTTCCGCATTCAACCCAATACGCCCTGATCGCCCTGCTGGCGAGCATCAACACTTTGTAAGGCAAAGGCAAACACGCATGTGCTCTTTATTTGTAGGCAAGACCCCAAATACGACCGCAGCGTGTAATATTTTCGCTATAATCAAAATTGAGGCGATAAAAACCATATTGTTTTCGGCTAGGTGTGCATATGGCGCCCTACTTTCGGCTGGGTTGCCACTAGCTAATCGGCTATATATGTTATACATATAAATTTTGGCTATATGTATATATACTTTTCATTAAAGTAACACACATAAATATCAGCTACTTTTTTCGAGAAAATTTAGGGCAGCTACAGGCGTTTATTTGTAAAACAGGTTGTTGTTGTTGCTGCTGCCGTTGTTAGCCGAATAAAAGAAAACACATGTGTGCAAACTTTTACCAAATGCTAAGTAAATATAAAAAAAATGGAAGCAGAATCGAAAAGTTAAACAGTATTTGCCAAATGTGCGAATTGCAAAAGAATTTTGCCCATATACAAAGCAGAAGCAAAGCGCGTTACGCATACGCAGCGTGGGCCCAAGAGAGACGCGCTGCTTGGTAGCCGCGATAAACAACTGAGAGATTCGCAACTGCAATAATAGCAAACAAGAACTCACTTTCATTACATATCTTTAGATATATACAGACATTTTTCTATATAGAATAGTTTACTAACAAGAGAGAGAGAGAGAGGGAGAGTTCATGATTGATAGCTCAGATAAGATATGCGCAAATCGTTTTGCATTATTTATTGCTTTATCATGGCAACAGGTCAGAAGATAACAAACGCTGTTCAAAACTGATTTGAAAAGGGTATATTCGGCTTCAGACCCAACTTGAAATAAGAGACTTCAAATATGGTGTTTATAGCTGAGTATCCCTCAGGTCTTTCTGTAGATGTTTAATGTGTCATATCGTGCACTGCTCTAGCCTTTACAATCTAAACGCTATAGAAGCACGACAGACTTGAAGTAACTTGAGTATACGCTATGTAAGAGTTTACTGTGCTTTGTACACTTCTAGTGGAACAATTCGCTATGACGGTAAAAGCTGATTGAGATCTTCCTTAAGATTAATGGGTTATTCCCATGGAGGCCCAAAATTTTGACAAATCAGTTGCTGTTGACCTCCTCTATAAATTGCCTAAAACATGTATTATTTATTTAGGCATGACACACCAGCAAAGATCTTTGTCTTCTACTATCTAGAGTAAGGATCTGCAAGGCATCATGTATCTTCAAGTATTTGCAATAATTATTTACCTATTCTAATGATAAGACTTGGGGCATGGCATCAGATATAAACAAACTTTAATTGTTTTTGGATCCATAACGAGTATTATGCAGCCAATAACACTCGTTTGGAATGTTCTAACTTGTTTTTACTACAGTGAGTAATAATACAGAGTGATAATTTGCATGCTTAAACGTATTATTTTTAGCGATAATTAATTAATTTTATGTAAATAATGTAATTTTTAAATATATAAAACAAATTTTATGTGGAAACAATAATGAATAGTAGCTTTAGAAATTAAAAAACCAAACATGGCAATAGAAACACCGACATAGTTGTGCTAGTTCCGCACTACTCTTTCTGTTTCGTTTCCATGTTTCTTTTTTCAATTTCAAAGCCTTTACAAGAAAATTCATTTTGAGCGAAAGTAACGGGTTTTTTTTAAACTAATTTCCTTACATTATTTTCCTTATCTTTTTCAACTTAAAAAATATCTTTTCATTTAGTTAAAGCTTTGTGTTGTGCAGCGCTACTATTTTTATGAACAGCTATACATATTCATAAACATTTAAAATATTTATCAATTTATTTTGTTAATATAATAAAACAAATCTGCCTTTGCATTCACTTTCTGTTAAGCTGCATCTGATTAACCTGAAAACAATTTTAAATATGTTTTTTGCTAGATTTCCTATGACAGTCTTAAGCATATCTAATGCTCTTTGAGTTTTTTCTTAAATGAGCTACCAATTGATGAGCTCTTTTTGTTTTGTTAAGCTGCAATCAAGGGTCGCTTGAGTTCTTCTTGCTTCGAAAAGTAATTTAAAAAGCAAAGGAAAAATGTTCAAGTAAAATATTTGCTAACTGAGGAGCCCAACCGTCGCCCAATATCAAATTTGGCAGCGGCATGCCCTTTTTTTACAAGCAAGCTTCGTTTTTTAATACCCTGTAGCTATGGAAATATGATGGATTGAATGGATGAGCAGCTGAGTAGATATAGCTTGGAAATTTTCTAGTTTATAGAGAAGAATTTTGAGTATTTAATATGAATATTTATAATTGAATTTTTAACTTGAAAATTTTCATTCATCAAGGAAAGTTTTACAACTATATCATATATAAAATAAAATATAAAATATCATATATAAAATAAAAGTTAAGCCAGCAACCACAAAGTTTAGCTGCAGACAAAGCCTTCGATAACTTTGTTCAGTGCCACTCGTAACTGAGTTACAGGGTAACGCCATGTGTGCTTAACTATTATTTGCTTGTTGTAGTTGCTGGTTGCCTGTGGCTGGTGGTTGGCATGGCCTGGCCTGACTTGGAGCTCTTCGCGAGCCACACAACAAATGCAAACAGGCAAAGTTTGTTTTGTCATTCGTTCGTTGGCAGCGCCAGCAGAAGCCAAGCAAAACGTTGCCAATGATTACGACAAATGCCGAAACGACCTTGCCAATTACTGTTTGCGGCACGCCTCCCTCCCCCGTCTCCGCCCCCGACCACATATAACCAACAGCTAGCCACAAAATTTGTACGTTGCGCCGCGCTGTTTGCGTATGCGTGGCGAATGCTCAGCTATGTGTGCGTGTGTGTGTGTATGTTTAACTAAGCAATGTTAAAGGTTAAATGCAAACCTTAAAAATTATTGACGCTACACATTGCGCGCTCTTTAAAAGAGCGCCCCTTCAATCAAACCAAAAAACATGCATAAATTTACAGATACTTTTTATTTAAATGTATTTCATATGCCAACGTTGTATGTATGTGTGTGTGTATGTGCCACGCTGCTGAAAAAAAAATAGCTTGCAAATAATTAGCGCAAATTTGACGCCAGTTGCTCAGCGCCGAGTGCGTGCGATCGCAGCGTTTGAGTACGTGTATCTATGAGATACAGCTGTGTATCTTTGCCTTTTACATGAGAGTCGGGCACACAAAGAGAGTGAGAGAATGCGCAGGCCTGACTGTGTGTGGAGCGCTAGAAAAATGTGAGAGAGAGAGAGTGAGAGAGAGCGCGCGTGTTAGAGTGCGAGAAAGAGAGAGTGAGTGCGCGAGAGCAAGCGATGAGCTTAGGCGCGCAAAATTTTTGCACAAAACGTGGATAGTTGGCAAACGGGCGATCTATGCGCGCTTTTTTTTTTGCTGTGGCATCTTTTGTGTGTGCTTTTCGCAAAGTTTACGCACACAGCCGCTGACTAGTTGGGCCAGCAGCGGTGGCAGAGGCAGCAGCGACAGCCACTTAAGAGCTGTTGCGCACATGTGCCGCAAGAACTGAATAGCACACACACACACACACACAGAGAGAGCTGGGAAACCGGCATGTCAGGAAAGCTAGCTAAGCGATCCAGCTAGAGGCACGAAGCGCACTCGGACTTTGGTTCGGACTTAGACTTAATCTAAGTCAATTCTAATGCATGCATGCAGACACTGCTCAGAGAGCGAGACATGTGCATGCAAGAGCGAGAAAGAGAGAGAGAGAGAGAGAGAGAGAGCGTGACTGAGTGGCAGAGGCAGCATGAGAATGCGAGAGCAATTGCAGTTTGCCAGCTTCAACATTTGCCACATGCGGCGGCGACGACGACGACGCTCTCAGCTGCAACTGCTGCCACTGAGACGCTGCTGCTATTGTTGTTGTTGTTGTTGTTGCCTTTGCTGCTGCTGAACGTGTTCTTTTTAGACTTTTAGCATTATTTGCAGCATTTGCAACGAACACTCGCTAAAAACAACTGCAACCGCAACGTTGTGGCACGCGTTTCTATCGCAACAAGAAATAAAAATAAAAATAAAAAAATAGAAAAAAATTAGACAACAAACTTAGTCTTAGACTAAAAGCCCGCAAGTGGCCAAACGGTCAACCAGTGCTAAAAAAAAACAAATAATAGTGACAATCGGCTCAAATCGGTGCAATATACACGATATATATATCTAACAAATATAAACAAACCAAAAGAGCTTGCAACATGTGCCGCGCAACTTTGAACTTTGAATGAGATCATCGGCTATTTAAGCCAGGCACACACACACACACACCCACACACACACACCCACACACACACACTCGCACACTGGCAAAGTATGTGGGAGTCTCAAATTTTGGACTTACTAAAATACAAAAAGTTCTCTAGCTTCCGGAGAAGTTGAAATTTTCCAGCGAACAAACAACTTTTTGGCGCCCAAGTGAAAACATTTGCATACGACTTATTTGCAGGCATACTTTCGCACTAATGTAATGCTATATATCACTCAAAAAGAAAATAATATTAATTTAGTATAGATTTCGATAGAAAATTCAAATGTGATAACGCGGAAAGCACAACAACGGCGATCAAACCAATGCAAATTGTGAATTGTGCGAATTTGCGCTAAAACAACAAAAGCTGCTAGCACAACAGAGCCCAACACGCCCACAGGCACGCCCACAAGGCGCAACTTGCAAACAGCTGATGGGGAGCACAGAGGCAGCAGCAGCAACAGCAGCACAGATCCTCATCATACCCAAAAGTATCTGTCAGTTCCTTTCAGTTTCTAAACATGTGAGACGCACATTTTGCATGGTCTCAGGCAATTCCAGGGAATTAAAATGATATGAGAGATTGAGACGGAGACTGTGACTGGGACTGAGACTGAGACAGAGACTTTTATATATATATATATATATTTTGGGGGGATGATGATGAACGGAACAGCAAAGGAGACAAAACGAGACTTACACAGACACACAGGCACACACTCGAGGCAGATATAAAGCCAAAGATCGGGTACTAGGTTAGCAGGCAAAAAGAGGAATAGGAATAATGAAAAGCAAAAAAAAAATAACAAAAATAAAAAACATACAAAATGCTCTTAAGCAGACGAGCGGCTGTCGCCGAAGAAATTCGCAAATTGCTCGTTTGAAAGCGAAAACCCAGCGTCAGATACACAGACAGCTCACAGATACAGCTACAGCTACAGCTCACAGATACAGATACAGATACAGGCAAAACAGATCGCTGCTGTAAGCGCCTTCAAGGGTGAGCCAACAGCAGCGACTGCGACGCCGACTGCGTGTCGTGTCCAATATGCCCTTGATCGTAGCTGCTGCTGCTTAAAATGTCGCGACTGCGTAGCTGACAGCAGCAGCGACTGCAGCTGAGACAGCGGCAGCGGCAGCGACAGCGGCAAAATATCTGTAAGCTTTGCCAGTCCCTTGCCCATGCCCGATCCGTCCCAGCCCCGAATTTTGGCAACACACAGAAAAAGAAAATATACATACTTATATACACATATTATATGTATATATATGTATGTATATATTTATAAAGACAAGCATAAAGAGCGTTTGCCGTCCGCCTTTAGATACTCGCATTTTTGCTCAGTTTTTTTTGCGCTTTTGTGCTTTTAAATTATGTTATTTATTTTGTTTACTTGGGAATTGGGAATTGGCAAGGGTCTGTCGTACAGCCAGTCGGCGTTACGTGCTGCTGCGGTACGCTTTGCTTGATTTTGTTGCTTATTTGTTGCCGCAAGAACATATTACAAGCATGTCCAAAGTGTATCCGTATCCGTCAGATACACAAGTCCAAGCTACTAATTAGCCAAACAGTACGCGCTCTTTCTCTTTAATTCTACTATCTACGCCCCTCTCTCTCTCTCTCTCTCTTCCTCTCACACCCTCTCCCTCTGTCTGTCTTTAACGAATTGTGTAATAATTTTTGCCAAAATGCCAGCAACAACAAATAATAATTCGCGTGTTCTTCACAGCTCATAAAATTTTTTAGTGCCGCTCGCGTAGGAAGTCGCACGTAGGCAAACCCGAACGTTAGAATGCGCGTGTGTATTCCAGATACAGTAAAAAGATACAATACAAATAATTGATTGGTGCAAAAATTGTAAAAAATTGAACCGTTAGATACTGCAGCTGACCAAAAAAAAAAGAAAGAAAACAACAAATTACAAAAGTCTCAAATACTCAAGTCAGATACTCTTCGCTTTGTACCTCGAGCCAACCCAAAGCGTTGCAAATGTTATAAAAAAAAACATATAATTGACAAGGTTTTTTTACGGAAATGACCAGGTGCGTGTTGATACGTTAACTATTTATTTGTAATTAATTTCTACACGTGTGTTATGTTTGATAAATATTTGAAAATATATATATCTTATGTCAAGTATTCAAATTCTGAAAAATATTAGACTTACAGAAATATTTATAAAAGTTGTTTTTAATGATTTGACGAAGTTCTTATCTACTTATTGAGGTATATTGAGGTACATTATATACATATATTTATATGCATATAAACTGTGTATGGGTATATATAACTTTGCCTATATCAATATAGATATATGGAAAAAATTCTTATTTTAGTCAAATTCATGCACGACTAACTTTAATAGGTATACAATTTTAATTATTTTTTTTTAATTATATTTTAGTTTTTGTTGTGTTATTTATTTATTGTGCTGTTTTTTTTTTGGTTTATTTATTATACTTATTTTTTTATTTAAAATATTTTTTTTTTTATATTTATCTATTTTATTTGTATTTATTTATTTTTGTTATTTTATATACTTTTTACAGTTTTTATTATATATTTTTCATTTCATTATTTTAGTTATTGTTTTTTAATTATTATTTTTATTTTTTCATTTTGTTTATTTATCTAATACTCTCAAATTTTAATATTTATTTTATTATACCCTGATCCCATTAAAAATGGGAAATCAGGGTATAATGGTTTTGTGCAAATGTATGTAACAGGCAGAAAGAGGCGTGGCAGACCCCATAAAGTATATATATTCTTGATCAGGACGACAAGCCGAGTCGATTGAGCCCTGTCCGTCTGTCTGTCTGTCCGTCTGTCCGTCTGTCCGTATGTGTGAACGCGTGGATCTCAGCATCTATAAGAGCTAGAGACTTGAAATTTTTTTTGTAGGTCCGTGTATAGCACGCGCATAGATGAAATGTTTTTTATTGTTTTATTTTATTTTATTTATTTATTTTTTTTTTTTTTTAGTTATGAAGTGGCGGTGTTGGTAGAGTTTGTGCACGTTGCGCAAATAATCCGGGTTCGAATCCTGGTCTCGCAATGTCGATTTTTATTTGTTTTCTTTTTTTTTTAATACTCGATACAAACTACGGAAAATATTACAAAACTCAAAGGACTGCGATCAGGGTATCTCCTAGTCGGGCACCCCGACTAGAGCTTTCTTACTTGTTTATTTATTGACCTTTAGGCAACCGTGCTAAAAATATTTTGTAAAAAAGAAAATTAGAAACTAATTGAATTTTTCAAAATATTGCGTATACGATAAATAATTATTTATAGAACTGTTACTTATCAAACCCTTCTCAAGGCAAAAACTAATTTTTGTTGTGGGCATTAATTTTTAGTATATTGCTTTTTTTTGGATTCTAATAACAGGTTTTTTACAGTAAAGAATTTTGTTATTTAAAATAATATTTATGTTATACAAAATAAAATTTAAGATAGCTACCATAGACCAACAGCAAGGCACTCACTCGCTGTACAAAACAACCAATTTGGGATATTCATATCTATATACGAAAGGTTTTCTAATTTTTACATCTATTCCAAGATCTTTAATGTCTTTAGCTAAAGTAGCTAGAATAGAGACATTTAGATTCTGCGAGCAGTTCGAAGTTCGTACTTTTCTCACAAAAGATCTCCGACTAAATAATATAAATTATGATTTTAAATATTACTAATTCACATATTAATAAAGCCAGCTGAGCAAAACTTGTACAACAATTTGCAATGCTGGTCAATTATAGTTGCATTGGCCAACTTTGTTGGCCCGCATCAAGTTTACAGCGCCCAGTTGGATATCAATTGAGCACATAAAATTTGCTCCAACTTGGGTGGGGTTAGAGCTGAGAGCTCTGAAAGTCGTCTGCCCGCGCCCAGCTGCTGGCAGCTGTTGCCAAATCAATTCCAATTTAGTCAAGGACAAATTGGCTTTAACTGGGGCTCAGCTGGGCGACGTCATCAGTTCCAAATAGATGAAATAGTAAACAAAAAATTAAGTATACGCAATGCTAATTGAATAATTTGAATTGTTGCACCTACAACGACTGCAGATGCTTAATATAGTTGTTGCAATTCTTGTTGTTGTTGCTGTTGTTGTTTTAGCAACAGATATTTTGACAGCTCTGGCTAAGCCGACGTGGGCGCAGGCGTGCCAACTGCTCTTGTGGGTGGCAGCAACAGCAACAGCAGCAACGACAACATTTACTTCGTTTTCTAATCAATGCAAATGCACATTTTTGGTCAATTGAGCTCAAATGTAATTTATAACATTTAACAATATGCGAATGCCTATTTGTTTTTGTTAGTTTAAACAAATGGCAATACGCTATGGCAGAAAAATAGCAAGTGATGTCATCCTGCAGCTGGCTCGATTGCTGCTGCTGCTGCTGCTGCTGCTGTGACAGACACCCGGGGTCAGGTTAAAGTTGAATCATTTGTTTGTTAAGCGAACACGATTTTTCTTTTAGCACACATTTTCGATATTGCCTGCTAATTAATTGAAAGCCATTTTATCGCAGACACAAAAGCCGACTGGCCATCAATTTCACACAACAACAGCAACTGCAGCAGCAGCAGCAGCAACTGTTGCTATTATTATTACGTTATATTGCAACAATGGGCAACAATTGGGGGCAATATGCGCAGCGAAGATCGCCTCGGTGGCAGCTTCTAACTGCGCTTTTTGTTAACATTTCAAACACGCCCACGACACAAAGCGCGCAAAAAAAGGCCAAAAATAACTGGCACAGGCTTCGCCCCGGCAAAGTCCTCCAACGAAACAAAAGCGAAAACAATAACAACAACAATAGGCATAACAAAAAGTAAGAGTGGATGACGTGGCAGATACCCTGTAATTAGCGAGAAGCTATGTAAGACACTTAGAGAAGTTGCTGTGGCCACAGAAGGTATTCATAATTGATCTAATGGTTGATCTATGTGGGGTATGAAGGGATGGCTTGTATAGAGATTTATACATAAGAAGCTTTGCGTAGCTCTCTGTATATATTACAAACTGAACATATGTTTATACATAGGAATATTTTGAGCATAATAGATATAGCTATGGATATAGTTAGATAAATATATAGTTAGATAGATAGATAGATAGATAGATAGATAGATAGATAGATAGATAGATAGATAGATAGATAGATAGATAGATAGATAGATAAATAGATAGATAAATAGATAGATAGATAGATAGATAGATAGATAGATAGATAGATATATAGATAAATAGATAGATAGATAGATAGATAGATAGATAGATAGATAGATAGATAGATAGATTTATAGATAGATATATAGATATTTAGATAGTTAGATAGACAGATAGATAGCAAGAAATATAGAGTATAGATAGATATATAGATAGCTTGGTAGATAGATAGTTAGATAGATATATTGATAGATAGGTAGATAGACTTAGAGAGATTTCTCAGGTATTTCTGCTTTGCTACATTAAATTAAATAGACATTTATAGATGCCTGGAGAATTATAAGTGCAGATGGTTGGAGATTCAATAATTGAAAAAATTAATCAAAGACCTATCTAGATTTCGGAATGCCATATTTTATTTGTTATTAAGCCTATAACCTTCAACAAAAGTCTTAAAAATCCCATCGAGTATCGAATCTAATCGTGAGTACAAACCAAAGTATCGATCGATTTTCCAATCATCGAGAAAAACTACGCTTAACAAAATCTGTTAGCTTCCGATATTTATCGATAAACTCTATCTAGTCACAGTCTAATAGTATCCCATATTGTTACCTACACAAATATAAATCTTTGTATTCTTATAGATCGGGTTAATGCTTCAAATACATATACATATGTGTATTCAGTATGCACCACATTGTTCCAGCTGGTTCACATACCCCATTCGCCACATTTGCTACAGGGTGTTCTAAAGCCAGACAACAGCTTGAGATTCTCTTTCTTCGTTTTGGCATTTTCAGTTTCGTTTATTTTTTATTTCTTTTTTTCTGTTGGCCATCGCCTGCTGCCTGTTTGGCCGTTTGGCTGTTTAGCTGTTGGCCATAAGGCTAGTGGCTTACAACAAATAAACTGCTTTTAACCTTGAGCTGCGCGCGTTTAGTTTGTAAGTCACGTCTAAGTCGCCATCGCCGCTCAAAGGTTTGACAGTCGCCGATGACGCTGGCTGCGCAGCTAGCAGCGGCGTTGGCAGCGCTCTTTTTGGCCACGGGCTGCGACGCGTCAAATTCGCTTTATTTCAGTTTTTTTTGTTGTTTTTTGTTGCCATTTTTGCAAATTTTTGGCGTGCCTCGTTTTTACCCTTTTGCCTTGTTCTTGTTGTCAAGTGTGTGCTAGTGTGTGTGTGTGTGTCTATATATATATAAATGGTTTTTTTGGGAACTTGTAAGCTGCGCCGCTTGACCAATTTGAGTTTTTAAGTTGAAGTTTTGCACGCCACGAAAAAGGTTAAAACATGTTTCTGAAGTAGGTTTTCCACTCGCTTCTAATGGCCTGCAACATCTAACTAGCTCCGAGGGGCAGCTTTGAGGTGTTAGCCCGCTCAGGTATGGCTTATGTAATGCCAGGTAAACTAACAAAAATAAAAAAAACTCAAGAAAAAAATAGAAATACAAAACTAAACTGCCTATTCGTGCGAAATACATTAAAATGTCTCATATCAGGGTTAACATGATTTTTATCAAGTTGCAAAATATTATAAGGGGCCTCCATTCATAGCGTACCATATTTAGGGTACAGTTTGTATGGGTTTGCTCATATGTGTATGTACTCTTTAGAGAAATTATATATTTTATGATTTAAGACTAGGAAGTTTATAAAGAAATTTAATTCTGATATACGATTTTGTGTATCTTGTATCTCTGCCTAAGTGAAATAACTTATCTCCTTCTGATTAAAGTAAGATCTTTTCCAAGTCTTATCTCTCAAATCAAATACATCTATCCTAATATCTTATTTAAAATCGCTTCCTGATTCATACATATCCAGATATTCAATAAACTTCTCTTTGAACTCCAATCCTAC